TCAGACAGAACGAGCTGACAGGTAACTTAAGAGGAAAAGGGAATTTTTACGTCGCAAACCAATCCAACAGTATTTGCTGGACTTATGAACACATTTTTTGATAAACTACATGTTCGCGGGTGACTTAAAGAGTGTGAGGCGGCCTAAAGATACAGCACCCTAGTTACTTAATAAATCATCCGTTCCTTAATATAGTATCAATTGCAAATATTCAGAACACCCGTTTGTACATGACGTGGCAATCCGANAATACGATGGCGGTGAAGGACAAGAAAGCGTTGAAGAAAACAAGTGTCAAATTCAAGCCTTCAGCACTTGCCATCTTTTTTTTTTTACACAACCCTAATCAGTGTTCAGTTTCTATAATATGCAAAGAATTTCGTTGCTTTCTAGGTTTCATCCGTTTTTGAATGAGACTGACCTTCTGCTTCCACCATTGAATGGACCGTTATATACAGTCTTAAGTTTCAGCAGCCGTACTTTTGAGGAACTCTGCAATTTTTTTCTTTTTTGCACGAGACTGACGCTGGAAATTACTCTTTGCGAGACTTACTGAATGTTCTTCAGTCTTCCTCCTCCGATGGTAATTGGTTTTTAACTGAGTACTGTTGAGTCTTCCGCGACAGTAGTAAAAAAAGTCCCTAAATCGTGCTCGCAATATCCAAACTCTCACCTTACTCGAAATTGAAACTTTGCATGTCTGAACCCGGAATTAAAACTTTAAATGTAACGTCATCATCACACAGTAATTAGTATTAATTTTCTTTCAAGCGAAACGCGATAGGTCGTATAAATGTTGAAGTTCGTCAGTTAAAAGGGAAGGAAGTTATATGAAACTACTGACGCAATTTTAAATAAGCAAAGGCAGTTGGTTTTCAATTATGAATCGCAAATATACAATCAGACAGAACGAGCTGACAGGTAACTTAAGAGGAAAAGGGAATTTTTACGTCGCAAACCAATCCAACAGTATTTGCTGGACTTATGAACACATTTTTTGATAAACTACATGTTCGCGGGTGACTTAAAGAGTGTGAGGCGGCCTAAAGATACAGCACCCTAGTTACTTAATAAATCATCCGTTCCTTAATATAGTATCAATTGCAAATATTCAGAACACCCGTTTGTACATGACGTGGCAATCCGATGAGCATCCATGTGTCAAAACGTAATATATGCCTTAAACTGCAAAGTGCAATCGACTACAAAAAAATCAACTTACACTATAGTATCCTTTATTAACTTTAAGGCAGCTAATAAGATGTAAGTCGTATTATATAGCGTCAGTTTCTTCATTTTAAAACACACAGGCTGAATATTCTTATTTCTTTTCCTGCCGATTTTAGGCTGAAAATATTAAATGAAAGTGAGTTATTCGAAACTATTGGCGCGATATCAAAGTAGAAATGGCAACTGGTTTGCGGTGAATCGTAAACAGAAAGTCAAATAGAAAAGAGTTAAGCTATGGTTTAGAGGAAATGCAGACTATTAAGTATGAAACCAATCCTACATGTTTGCTGGACTCAAGCGAAACAAACGCACGTTTTTTTAGTAACTATAACAAACGACGAGTCTCTTGACATGAGAGAATTAATTGTTCCCCCGTAAAAAAAAAAAAATTACTAGCTAAGCTTTTAAAATATAGACCAGCACAGTAGGTAGTTAGTCTCCCTTGTGTGCGCGCCAAAAGGGAATCATGGTCCCAGGCGTTACTAGCAGAGATCATGGAAACTGAGGATGGGAATTGCTACCTGTAACAGCGCCATGCTCTATTTTGTGAAGAAAGCTTAGGAAAGATTGATGCAGAGGTGTCGAGCTTTCCCGGAACGGGTCGGTCCACGAATACTATTGCTTGAAATCGTTGATTACTTTTGAACAAGTGAATGCTTCAGTGAAAACTTCGGTGGTGAGGCTTTAAACTAGTCGGGCGTTGTAAACTTTCATGGTATGAAAATGAGTCTTGTGATGAGCATGCGGTTTATTTTTGGCGATGATTGAAATGACGCGCCATGCTCATCACGTTTTCACTTTCTAGCAATGATTTGTATTTGTACACGCGTATTTTCTGAAGACAATATACATTAAATATTCTGAAGAATACTCGACCGTCGATAAAGTAGGAAGTGAAACCTTTTAGCGAAGAAATCCTGCTTCGTTTAGAATTAATCGCCTCCTTATCTCTTATGTAATCTCCAAGCAAGCGAGTTGGCCCTTTTAAGAGTGTTCTTGTTGTAAGCTAATCCAGGGAAAATATTACATCATGACTATAGGGCTTGGTTACCAACATGGTGGTATCGCGTGTTATAAATGGCAACGATCGTTTACGAAAGGGAAATAGGCTTCGACGAGGCTGAAGACTTAAATATCTTTTGCCGTTACAAAATGCTTGAGCAATGCCGTGACTTTACGCTCGCAATAGATATTAAATTATGTTCATTGAACCAATGTTTAAGGTTGAAAGCTGTGATTCAGTAACTTTGCTCAGCGGATAGTCGCTATAAAGTTTTAATATTTTTCTTGCAGTTGAAATTCAGATCAGGCAAAAAACTTCCTTGAAATCTCTGAAAATCTTCATGTCCCAATAGAAGGTTAAGGTTCTACAAGGCTAGCTGTGCATAAACAAAGTTTTTAAATCTCCTGAGACAAAATGGCTGCCGCGTGACAAAGGTCTATTTTGGCGTTTTTGACGTCTTGGTCCACCACAAACAGTTTTGGCGAAGCTCACGTGCACCATGGGTAAGAATTTTGGTTCACTCTGCATAAATAATCACGTGAGCGTACGCACGCCCTTCCGCACCACAGGCATAACAATGTAGAATAACTCAATCAACAGGTATGGCAAATGCAACACGGGGTTTTCCGGCGGGAAACCTAAAGTCCACCGCGACTTTTTAGAGGGAGAAAGTCCATCCGGACTTAGAAGAGAGAAAAACCAACAACAAAGTCAAGTCCGACTAAATTTTAAAGTCTTTAATGACATCGACAACATAGCTAAAGCGTTAGACAAAAAACAAGAGACAAATTTCGTTGGAGGAAAAACATGGAAATGGCGGTGAGAAAATGAGAAAAGACGGCCAACAAGGTGAAAATGAGCGACAGTGTAGAAAAAAAAGTGAACAGGAACACGAGAAAGCATCGGTGAGCACATACATTTTCCAACATAAAATGAGCTAGGAAGTTTCACATTGTAGTCGTGCAAAACAACGTCAAAGAAATGTACAAAAAGGGTGCTGCGCACTTGCAAGGTTGTTGTTTTTTTTTGCTAATAGAGAGAAGAAGTCTTTACGTCACGTTGCCATAGTAGCAAAATTTTTGGATCAGACAACAAACCCGACGTCACTTAACTAAGTAAATTCGCGCTATTTCAAATTTCATCGAATTTATTCAGTTTCATTTACTATGTTAAATGTTGACAAAATTCTCTAGGGTTGAATCCGAAAGGACCGTATCAGAGGTTAGAAAAAGAAAGAGAAAATTTTTGTGCTGTTTTGACCAACTCTATAGAGCGGGCGCGTGAGATTAGGAACAGGGCGGATAAATGTTGGGCGGTGAAACGAGCGCTCCGCTCTTCATTTAATGTGTGATGCGGAGTAGGACTGGCACGAGCGCTCTTTCAACGCTTCCGGTGCGCTTGAAGGCCGGCGAAATTTTCCTTTTTGCAAACCGGAAATCCTATTTTCTTTCTGTAATTCCAGGCTACAATGTTAAATAGATAAATTCGTTTCATAACAATATCAATAAATAGTTTCATATGTTTGTGTCGTACGTCTATAAGTCAAACTTGTTGGTCGTATAATGCCAAAATTTGAGTTTAATTTGAAAGTGTTGAATACCTCCTCCTTCCACTAAATATCACCTAATCGTCTTTCGCCGTTTCGTTTGCAAAAGCTTAACACTTCTTAACCTCAATTTTTACATATGTTAAAGGGGAATAAATTTTATATAACATACCAAAAAATTAGATTGATATATATTGATATAGTGGCGTTGTACTTCTTCAAACTTTGCTTCTCGGGTGCAACGCGCCATGGCGATTCGCCCAATGCGTTGCAAATCCGGCAACAGTATGTAAACAAAATTTATTGAGGTTAGTTGTAAGGTTTTTTCTCCGTTTTTCTCTCTAAAACAAAACATGGTAAACAGTACGTAAAAACTGAGGGGAAACTAATTTTGAAGTTTCGAAGAAACAGAAAGACGTATGAGATGCTTTTTTCAAAATTAAAAAGGATGATGGTGATTGAAATTAGCATAATTTCACCTTGCACGAGCTGCACGCATTTATAAAATACACGTCATCTAGTTATGAAACACGATCTGCTGTCTTTTAGTTTTGCCATGGGTGTCGATGGTTGAGACTTTCCTTCGTGTTTTAGACAGTACTTAGTTGTTTTTGTTTTGGAATAACATCGACATTGGCGAGTAGCAGAACGAAAATATAATTCAGTTGTAGAAACATGGAAGTAATAAAAGAAACCCTTTGAAACTGAGATGTTTGTCTACTCCAACTAAACCTTCCGCAAAAAAATAGCAACATTTGCCTCCCGGAGACAGCGTACCAGCACAAAGGAACGAGGAAGAAGTGCAAGAAAACAAATCAAGCCGCCATAATTCAGTGACAGCGGCAGTGTCTAATGTACAAACCACATCGCAAGCCCTGACCGAAGTTGAAAACAAGCGACATTTCTAAGCAGAGTCCCAGTCCACTGCATCACACCTTTTTGCTCGGACGCGCTCGTTTCACCGCGCAACCTTTATCCGCCCTGGTTAGGAAGTTCCATTTCGCAGTCGTGCAAAGACGGCTAACAGTCCGGGCCGCAACCAGATCTGGATATATGATGACGTCACCCACATTTGCAAAATGGCGCCCACGCCGAGAAACACGAGGGAAGGTCACTTCCTGGCTCTTTGCTGCGCCTAGAAGTGTCCTTTCCCCATACTACTTTGAGAGCTGTGACTTTAGGTAATGGGAAATCAGGGGTGTGAAGAAAAAATGCCGTCCGATGAACGTTTGTGCGTTCTTGGGAGGTAAAACGACCGAACGCGAGAGTTTTTCAGCTCAAAGAAATGCCCGACAAGGAGCAAAACATCGAAAAAAAGAAGGTGAGTGTCATTTTTTGGACCTTCGGAAAAAATTTTTTCGAAATCTACATAAAATTTGCTTGTTGATAGTGGTCTGTTTGGTGTAGTGCAAAGCAGTTTCACATAGTGCTGTGCTTTTAAAGATGCAAAAGTCAGTTGCGCAGTTAACGTGCGGGTTTTTGTAACGCCATGTTTATTTTATGTTATTTTGCAGTCGGATGGAAAAGCACCTTGGTTTTTTGGAAAGAAGATGCCGTTTGTGTGGGAAAACTTTCTCTAAAATCCAAACTGTCCAGAATTGCGACAAAACAGCGTTTGGAAGGGAACTTTTGAACTTCTTTGGCGTAGATATTGGGCTGGACTCCAGAGAAATCCATCCACAGAAAGTGTGTTCGGCTTGCAGGAGAGTCGTTTATCATTTAAATTCGGGTAACTTGGACCCCGAAACCTCTGAAGGGAGAAAGCAAGGAATAAAACTGTTTCTGTGGAAGGAACACTCCTCAAACTGCTATTGCCTGCAGAAACTCAAGGGAAGGCCTTCAAAGAAGGAATTATGCAACAATGCAAACCAGTGCAATTTTCGATTACTGAATTAAAATGTCAATGCTGACAATATAATAAGCATTGGTCATCCCTGAATAAGCCTTTCATTTCAATGAAATAAATGTACACAGATTGAGGTACATAAAAAAATGCCTGTATTTTCGACTGCTCGTATAATTTTTTAATTTATTATTTATTTGTTAGTTTACTTTGCCTTAGGTTATGACATGCAAGGTGGAAAATGTGAAGAATGGAAAATACACTTTAAACAGGACACCAAATGATCGATCTTACAAAACTGTTCCATATTTCATTATTACAGTCAAACCTTATTGATATGGACACTGTAGGGGCCATAGGAAGTGTCTATATAATGGAGGTGTCCATATCAAGCAGGTCCTGTTATAAAAGTCAAAAACACACTTTTTTATCGAAATACTACGGCATCACACCTAACATCTTTAAACATCACTAAGCTCTTATTCTGCAGACTCTGTCCATGAAAACACACGGAAGTCTCGAGAAAATCTATCAAAAATTATGTAACATTTACCAACTCGATTGATGTCAAAATGGTCTATTATTGTTGTGCACAATTCATTCATTTTGGTGTACTATGATGCTGGGAACGTGGACATGAAGTCAATTAAGTGAAACGTTTTTTTACCCTACAAAAAAGAGGTTGACTACAGCACACAATGGACTATAAAGTGTGCGGATTAGCGAGGTTGACTTTATATGAGAATCTGTTCATTGAGGAAGAAAAAAACGTCCATTACCCACTTTAACAGGTCAGTCTGTATTAAGTGGGTTGAATAAAGAGAAAAATTAAGGGTTTTCCCCAGTGACCAAGGAAACTTCCCATAAGGAGTCCACATTAAGCTGGTGTCCGTAAAGAGGGGTTTGACTGTATGATACAGGACAAACATAATCTAATAATAATAATAGATCGCTTTTTTGCCGTTCTCGTTGTTTTCGCCGTGGTCCTTGCTTAAGCTCTTCATTGTTGTCATCCAGAATTTTTGCTAACATGGCAACGTGACGTCACCCTGTCCTCTCTATTAGACCTATTTACTATTTTTTTGCCGTTTACGTTGCCGGCGCCGTTTAGCGTTGCTGTCTGTTTCTGTTATACTTGGTCCGTTCAATCTTGAAAAGGTCTTGAATTTTACTAGTCGTCTTGAAAAGTCCTTGAATTCGGTTTAGGTCCTTAAAAAATACTGGATGTCTTTATTAGGTTTTGAAAAGTCCTTGAAATTCACAACCTACAATGGAGACACCTTCCTTTTTCTGTGAAATTACTCGGATTATTTTGCCGAGGAGAATTAGGCTCATCCTCGGTGTACAAGAACCTGTAAAACTTACAGGTAAGGGACCTGTCAGAAATTAGCAGGGGGGGGTGGGGGAGGGGTGGGAATTTGAAATTTGGGTTCGGAAATGAGGCGACCCATCCCTGCAATGGGAGTGAAATTTGCTAACCCTTCCCTTGAGCTTGGCCTAAAATATCATGACCCTCCCCCTCTTGTATAAATGATAAAAACTAGTCCTTGAAATACACTAGGGCGAGTCAGTATTATGAAAACTCAAAATATATTTCTAATCTGTTCTTTGTAATGCTATAGCTATATACATACATTTTAGATGACAGCATTAAGGGTCCGACTCTGATTCTGACAGCCGATCACTTGACTCTCCTATTTTCTATTTGCTTTTTTTCATTTACCAAATAAAGAACTTCCTTTTTCTTCTGTGGGTGAACCTCTACATGATCATGGGCTTATATTTGCATGACCCTCCCCCTTTTAACTGTCCATTTTTTATGACCCCTCCGTTTTCTGAGTCTCAAAAAGTTGTGACCCTCCATCTGTTTCCACCCTCCCTCCCCCTCCGCTAATTTCTGACAAGTCCCTAACGTAAACACATTTTTGTGCATGAACGATATTTTCTTTATTTTTCTTTATTTCAAATGCTATTTCTGTAACTAAGATGCAGTTGCAAGTCATACCCAGTCAGTCTTTGTTGCGGAAAGTAGTATGGTGGTAAAAATTAATTGTAAAGGATAGGGTTTTAGCCAACAGAGTGATCAAATGGGGTTAAAGAATGCCGATTAATCAAAAAAATTTTAGTCCTTAAAAACTGTAATTTGTCCTTGAAAAATCATTGAAATTTGTTTGTCTGAATTTGCAGTGGCGGATCCAGGGAGGGGCTCAGAGTGCCCGAACTCCCATCCCCTCTTATTTTTAGACCAAACTGAGGCTCGAAGGGCCAAAAAAATTTCTTTTGGAGACTGGGCCCCGGGGGATTGGGGATCGGGGATTGTCCCGCGCACATTTTTTCCCCACAACCTTTCTCGAAATAGCTGTACAAGCTAGCCCAAATTGAAACTCACTGCGGTTTAGAAAATGGCCGGTTTACAAAGTTAAAAATAGCATAAAGGCTCAGGAGATGTGCAAATTGTCCAATTAAAATCCTATCAAGCGAGAATAATGACAGAGAGGGAAACGCTCAGTTTGCGGTAGTCGCGCGTAGGCTTGATGACATTTCAAACAATCGATTAAAATCAGCGGACGTCCGAAAATAATTAATTACAACCTCTAAAGATCACTTTAGTGAAATTCGCCTATCCCTAGCCTGTGTTACCTATCCCAGCCAACGTCCTAAGATCCGCCTTCTCTACTGTCCTATTATTATCTCTTGATCACCCTTTTGATTGAAGTGGACTCCGTTTTCTCAAGTCTTGTAATTCTAACGTAGTTCTTCGCATGGTTTCTTCTGCTGCACGTAGGGTAGTAGGCCGGTAACGTACGTCCACACTCATCCTCCAATATGATGTATGGACAACCCAACTGCACTCTTTCCCTGGAAGCTGCTGGGACGGACACAGAAGATACCTTTATTGTTTAATTTTTTTATAAGGATCTCCTAGGTTTAATTTGCTATTGCTGCGCATAGTATTTTTGTAGTGTTTTTGAAAATGTATAGAGAAAAAGGTCTGTTTCCACATCTATTTTTTTTTCGTTAATTAAATTACCTGTAAGCAAAGTCAATTTGATGGAGTCTTGAATCCCAACGTATCTTTGATCTCTAGAATCACGTTTTCTGTTCTTCCTTTGCAGGTAAGCTTTGATAACTTGTAAAGCAAGGGAAGCTGACGACTGAGGCAAGTCAATACCTCTTGTTTAGACTAACTGCATGGACACATTATCAAAGTTTAGCTTTGCCTCACCCCTATAGTCATTGCGTTTACCCTACTTAAGCTGACTTGTTCCTAACCGTCTTTTCTCTCTCAGTCATGGAACGGTCGCGGGAGACTACAACGGCATCTTAGTGAAGGGGATCTTCCTGACGCGCTTCTCGGCTCGTCGATATTTAGAGAGAGAAGGGAGACGAATGTATGAGGAGCAGTCAGGTGTTATGGAAAAACAACGATGACTGTTCTGATATTCACCATTTACCTCACCATGGCCATTTACTGAGCTTTAGGGTTTCTTCATTAGAGAAAACATTTCTTAAGAACGTCATAATCATCATCATCATGGTCGTCGTCGTCGTCGTCGTCGTCGTGTTCATCATCATCATCATCATCATCATCATCATCATCATCATCATTATCATAATCGTCGTCAACATCGTCATAGTCGTCGACATCGCCATCATCATCATCGTTGTCGTCGTCGTCATTTTCATCATCATCGTCAGTAAAATCATCATCGTCGTCATCATCATCTTCATCCATATAACAGGCGTCAGATCAGTCATCTACGGTGTAGACTTCTTCACGTTACGGTGCCTTATCGGGCTGCCCAGCTTGTTAACGTTCACTGATTTTAAATCTCTTAAGAACGTCAAGAAAACACTTTATTTGAACTTATTATCAAAGATTGCTTAGATTTCTCTCTTTCTCTCAATGTGTGTAATCAACTATAATAACAAAGTAAACAGCAAAGGCAAAAGAGACTCGGCGTTTGCAAATATTTAGGATGGTCAGGCCTTCCTTATATGGCATGAAAGTGACACAATTGGAAATTTGATACAATAGGTCTGTTTTAAACTCAAAATCCGAGTGTAGGTCAATAGGGATAATACTTAAAAATAGTGACTTTTGCACAAAAGAATAACAACATAAAGGTAAATAAATCCGTTAAGAATGTCACAAAAAGAACTTAGAAATAACGGTAAATAAATAGAAATAGAAAATAAGTCTAAAATAGTAAAATAATCATTTTAAATAATCAAATGATAAAATAAAGATAAAGTAAAAAAGATAATAGACGAATAATAATAATGATTATATGATATTCATAGAAAAGGAAAAGCGTTGAAAGTGGCAACCAAAAATCCAAAAAATACTTCTTGCTGGGTTTTTGTAAAGTGACTGCTTGAAAGTCGTTGCAGTTACGTTTTCAAAAATCACTCAAGCAGTTTTTGTTGCTGACGTTACGTCCTTTTCTATTGTTATTGTCATAATCTTAATCATTATCATTCTTGTCATAATCTTCAGTATGACTTTATTTTTAACTTTATCACCATATTATATTTTATCATGTATCATTACTGACTATTAATCATAACTATAACAAAATTCTCAAATCTGATTGGCTATCAACTGCCCTGATTTCAGCCTTAATTGGACAATTTAATAGGACAGTACGCGTCATGCCTAAGTAATTGGACAGTACGCGCCATCACGCGCGCGCTTAAATGGCTTTTTTTCACTACTAGCAAAAAAAATTGGAATTTCTTCTGTTTTGATTTTAAAGAAGGACCTCATATATTACAAATTTTGTTAAAGTTATGATTAATTGGTAACAGAACTTTGTGTCGTCCAATTCAGTCTGTAATCATACTCGTGATTAAACAAATTGGACTCCCGCTACGCGGTCGTCCGATTTTGTTAATGCTCGTATGATTACAGACCGAATTGGACTCCACGCAGTCCTGTTACTATTACTTATTTTCCTTCTCTTGCATTTATTTGTCATTTTAAGTTCAATTTTGTTTCATTTTTTCTCATTTATTTACTTTTTGACATTTTTTTTATTCTTTCACGCTT